CCTGGAGTTAACACGGAATGAAAAAAACAAAGCAAAATAAAACAAATTCTTCCAGCCGGTTTCAACAGATGAAAATAGAATTACACATTTTTGGTTACATATTGTAACCCAAGACAACACTCCAGTGCTATGGCTCTGCTCTGGGGTAGACAGCACAGTGAGCTTCGGGACAAAGAGATTGAGGGAAAGACCCACAAAAAAACTCCATATATTCTGAAACTAAGTTTTGTCTTCATGATGTGGAGATAACATCCCAAAAGGATTTTTCAAGCTGTAGGCCTTCTCATCGTTATCTGTGCCATAAGGACTCTAGTCCTCCAGGGCCTGAGGCTTCTTACTGCTTGACAGTAACAGCCAAAGCAGTCCTGGGCACCAAGCCCAGGGATGGAGAGGTCAGCACTCACTACGCTGTTTTTTTGTATTCAGGAAGAAAAGAATGCTCAAATATGCAAAAGGAGCACAGAAATGGTCTCTCATCCTGCACAGGGCTACAAAATATGCCAGTTTTCCTGGACCTGCCTGGTGGGAAGACAGAAGGCTGATTTTCATCTGGGGTCTCTAGAGGCACAGCAATCCATCAGGCACCACAGCTGTGACTGGGTGGCCATATGGCCTGAGGTCCTGGGCAAACAGCTGCTCAACCTGCATGGGCCAGCATGTCCAGGGAGAGTTACAGATATAGTAAACACACTATGTTCAAAGAGTCTGAGATCTTCAAATATGTAAGGACAAGAGGAAATTATGATAGCAGGTAGGAAAGGTAGGAAGATATTGAAGAAAATAAGGTGCTATGAGCTTCAGACACATTTTGGAGCAGATGTACTTAAGATTGGTCTGATGGGGTCAGTCCAGATGAATGAATGAAGTGGATTCCATTTGATTGTGTTTGCCCAGTTTTCTTCTAGAGAAAACTAAGCATTGGGGAAGGAGGGACTGGTATGAACCTAGGCACTGCTCTGGGCATGGCCACTGTGAGGTTCTGAACATGGCTCTCACCAGTTTTACAATTTAGGCATACTGTAGAAAGTACGATTATATTAACGTGGTCTCTTATGTACGACACGTGAAAATCTTTGTTGAAGAAATGTGTTAGGAAACAGAATTTAGTGTTCAGGCCAGTCCCTCAGAGAAAACCTGCAGTGTTATAGGTATGTATGTTAAATGTCTTTTCAATGCTTGCCACCTTCTAATTTCTTTTAACTGATGACTGTTCTAATTGTTGCTCTGTGTTTTACAGCTGAGAGTTTATGCCCAGCCACAGCAAATAAGCACGGCTGAATACGCAGCAAATGTAACAAAAACTGTATTCGACTTCTTTGAAGAATACTTTAATTTGAGCTATTCTCTTCCAAAACTAGGTGATTATTAATTCCTATATTTCATATAGAAAAATACAGATAAGAATTTCAAATAACAATACTTAATTTTTTTATTTTACCGTCATGATTATGTTTCTCCTAGAAGTCTCTGTGCTTTGGTGGAAAATAGCATAAAAATATTTGGTTGCTAACTGCTGATATTATACCACCTTGTTTTAAAACTGTACCCATGTAATTTAAGATGTTCTTAAATGTCATGATGGGAGGGTTGGTCTCAGTAACAGTTTAGTTACCAGTTCTTACCGTTCAGTTTGCTGAATTGAAGCACGAGTCCTGGCATGGTTGTTTTAAAATGTCTTGTGAAAAATCAGAGGAAGCATTGGTGTCATCCGCAAAGGAACATCATGATCTAAAATAGAGCCAGAAAAAAATTGAGAAAAATATGCATCACTTCCATGGGAACTTCTGGACAAAAGTCAGCAGTGAGATAAGTGAAGATATAAACTGCCAGAGAATATGTCATACTATTTATTAACGTCAATGCAAAGTGGGTGTGTATCTGCTTCTTAGAAAAATGAATGTGGTCCAGCATATAATTTGTAGTTTCTACTGCTGGGTTAAATAAAGACCCAGAGGACTGGGCACGCTATGAAATTTTGCTGCTGGTTATAAAACAAGCAAAGAGAAAGTAGTGCAGTTGGGCATTCTTTAGCTTGGGCTATCTGGATTCTCAATCTAATTTGTGCAGTTTGAACTAATAAGGGTGAGAATGTAATCAAAGTTTTGAAAATGCCCCTTCCAAAGACCTCCAAAGAGGTAATTCACTTAGGCTCATGAACTTAAAAGGATGGAAAAATATTAACTACAAACAAGCCAAGGCAATGTAATGGGGGGGGAAAAAAACCCTCGAACTTTGAGGACAATTAACAATACTATGCAAAACTTATATTGGCTATTCATATATGTACCTATCAGGCTAACTCACTTTAACAACAGATTTTTACCTCCTCCTTTCGAAACCTCATCTGAGTTTATTGTAAATATCTGTTTGCATTTCAGTAACAGCAGAATTAGGGAAACCAGCATAATACATTGTTCTTTTTCACACTGGTCCCTGGTAATAATTTGGACTGTATCTCACCTGCTCTTCATATTCAGACCTTCATTTCAATAAAAACCTGATGACTTTGCCACATCAGCATACGGAGAGGGGTCCATCTGTGCTATAGGGTGTACTGGTAATACCCTGTCAGAAGTTTCAGAGGATAGATGCTCCTTTAGATTTTATACAATTTTTTCTCAGAATGTCTGTTAGATCACAAATCTTGACTTACTGTGTTGTTCCCTCAGCCATCATCTGAATCAAACCCGATGAATCAAATCTGTTTCTGCATAATTGTTTATTTAAATATTATATTTCATATTGATTTATGGCTTCTGGAATTTTCATTTTCATTGTGATTCTTGTTTTGACTGTCTGAATCTCTTGCCAGACTATCAGCTTTGATTCTGTAATCAAGTTGTTTAAATTAAAAAAAGTAACTCCTGTCTTCTGTTAGGGTGGAGTAGGGTTGTTTGTTCTATTCAGTTTTAAAGCCAATTCTGTGTTTTCACAAACCCGTATAGAAAGGCCATGGTCATTACTTGCAGAGAAAATGCCAGTCCAAACAAGCTGGCAATTCTCATTTAAACCTGTATTGATTACTGACCATAAATGAGTAACCCCCTCAAATGGCTGCAAATAGAAGCAGATGTTGTTCACTGCGTGGAGGATTTACCTCAGTTAACATGTCAATAAATATTTTTAATACAGCAGTGTGACAACCAATGATATGCCTCATTATGCTACAGATAGCTCCAGGAGGTTTACTGCCTACAGCACATCCCCAGACAATACTATTAATTTCTGGAGCCAAAATTAAGTAATGTACGATATGCACACTCCCAGGAGGTGGCATAGCATCACCTTGCAGGGCAGTTCCTCAGCTCGTGCAACTTCTCCTAGCTCTGTTAATCTCAGGAGATCCAGAGCATTTGCTGTCAGCTGCTGTAGGCCAGTTCTCTGCTTTTTAAACACAGGTTATAGACTGCAGCCCACAGCAGTAAGCAAGAGCCAAAAATGGTAAGCAAAACAGGCTGCAAATAAACAGAAAGAGGGCAAGCAGAGTGGCTTAAAGGATACAGTAGTAATCATGTTGTCTTTCTTTCAATGTAGATAAAATAGCTATTCCAGATTTTGGGACAGGTGCTATGGAGAACTGGGGGCTGATCACATACAGAGAAACAAACCTGCTGTATGACCCCACTGAGTCGGCCACTTCCAACAAACAGAGAGTAGCTGCTGTGATAGCCCATGAGCTCGTTCATCAGGTACGTTTTAGGACATGACTCATTTTTACAGTGCTTCAGATGTGTAGTCACAACATTTTAATCTTGCAAACACTGTCATTATCTCCATCTCAGGGTCTACATGTGCTCACAATTTGATTGTAAAATATCATGCTGAAACAGTTCCCCCATAGAGCTTTAGAGTACTGTAACTACTGTCTTTGAATTTTTCTCAGGAAAATGCTTGGGTGCAGACTGTGAGTCAGCTAATGAAAATCTGTCTAAAATATCTTAAAAGAACTAATTTGTACGTGCAGATGTCTCTTCTGGGCAAGAAAATAGGGACAACTATATACTGTGGAGGCTGTCTGAAATCATATCCTTACAAGCATAAATCATCACATCAAGAGGAAGAAACTACAAATATTTCCAGTGGTATACAAATCATTAGCAATCTTCCTAGTAATATGTAATTTTATAATAGAAGTGATGTTTTAACACAAGGCAAGGCCTGAATTCCTATTTAAACCCCAGAATTATGGTTATTTTCATCTGGCAATGGGAAGAAAAGTGAATAAATGAATCTTCTCTGTGGATATGTGAGATACTTACTTGTACATTTACCCTTTAGCTAACACTACATCTTTCAATGTTTATAATTGTAGTGGTTTGGAAATATTGTGACCATGGACTGGTGGGATGACTTGTGGTTAAATGAAGGATTTGCCAGTTATTTTGAGTTCCTGGGAGTAAATGCTACGGAACCAGATTGGCAAATGGTAATTATTTCCTTCTTGTGGTGGGCTGCGGGGACTGGGAGAACCATTATGGAACAGAGTAAAAATCAGTCAAGGACAATGAAGATTTAAAGTATATTTATAGAAAACTAACATAGTGTGGTGCAACATAAATAAAAAGTTAGTTTAAGCTTTTCCACCTACCCATATTATGGTCAGAAATTATTCAAAGTAAACTTTATAAAGTTTTAGTCTGCGGAGAAGAGTGATTATTTTTTAACAAGTGAGTCAAGTGTTTGGTTATTATTATGGCAAATAATACCTAGGTGGATTCTGGACAGAGCTTTAGCAATTTTGCAAGGTTATTTAAAGGTCTAACCCTGGAAGATGGAGATTCCCCTTTATTTATTTAGTTGGGCTTGCAGTGTCTCTTCATGTGACTTGTCTTAGGATCGTTGTCCAACTTGGTGAGGGTTGAAAACCTGGGCCTGTCTCCACAGCTTGGGCTGTGAAAAAGGAAAGGAAAAAACAAGGAAAATACCAGATCCCCTGTTCAGCTGCTGCCAGCATTTTAAGTGTCATTTCAAATGCTCCAGCTCAGACAACCTCTACTCTGCACAGTGCAAAAATAGGTAGTTAAAGTGGCTAACTGTGCAGCAAAACCAACCCCAGCCACTTTGAGGGGGGTGCAAACAGAGAGGGTAGCCTGAAATACACACTATACTCTGAGGAATAATGACAGTGTGGGAATAAAGGGAGGTTTCTTGCTCTCTCCTTCCTCCCCTCCCAAACAGATGTGATGGCACACATATATCCCCGCAGCTGACCAGGTGTAATGAGATTCTGGATACTAGAAAATATATAACATATGCCAGTGGAAAGAAGCAGGGTAGGATTTGCATAGATTGAGCCTGTTGTCAAAATCTACCAGCCCTGAAGCCTGGTAACTTTCAAAGGCAGGCAGTTCCTACCAAGTTTCCCCTGCCTCCCCCCTGCTCCCAGTAAATATCTTTTCTCAACCATGTTACATGAAGCTGAGAACAAAATCATTCCTAGGTCACTTCTTTTGCACTGTAAAGTAGAGGACCTGTTGTGCTAACTACATAGAAAAAAATTTTAATTACTGAGCTTAAAATTTAAAAGACCCTTTTGTATCTAGATACCATGTTCATTTAAGATCTGGAGCCATTTCAGTATTATCATTCTAGTGAGTATTAGAAGAGGTAAACTAAACAGAAATTTAGGGTTTTTTTGATTGACTAGGAAGTAGGGGGATTTTGACTGAAGACCACTTACTATTTTTAAGAAATTATAACCTCTTTGAAAAAATTTTAAATCTTGAGACAGAGAACCCTCCTTCCCTCCCTTCCTAGCTCTGTTTTTGCAAGAGAAGTCCATAAGGCTTTGCAGATATTGTCACTCTACTGTAATTGATAATACAGTCTCCTTTTTTTTGCCTTCTGTGAGGGTTTTTGTGTTATGATACACACAGGAAAACAGAATTTGCAAGTGGCAATATATCTGAGTTAAGGGAAAACTGTATCCCTCCCCTCTCAGATGTAAAGTACAAGTTTGCAAGTCCTTCTTTAGAGGAGGTGAAATTTGATTCCATTTCCAGCTGCCTCCTCCTAGAGAAACTGCAGTTCAAGCTATATATTATGTGGAGTTAGACGTATAGTCCTGCCTTTATTCATATTCTGACCTCTTATCTTTCTCAGTTTGAACAGGTTTTAATTGATGATGTGCTTCCTGTAATGAAGGATGACTCATTGCTGTCTTCTCACCCAATTGTGGTCAACGTGTCATCTCCAGCTGAAATCACCTCAGTGTTTGATGGGATATCCTACAGTAAGGTAGGATATCCTCCTGTTGTGACTTTGGCTGCAAACAAAGTGGAGACTTGGAAGCGAAGATGAATTATTATGAGGGGAGTTCATAATCATAGCTCTTAGAATCATAGAACAGTTTCAGTTGGAAGAGACCTTCAAGATCATTGAGCCCAACATTTGTCCTAGCCCTATCAACACCACTAAGCCACGTCCCTCAGCACAACATCTACCCATCTCTATCCCAACATCTATCCCACCTCTAGGGATGGCACCTGGGTCGTGTCTGTGCAGATCTTTTTTCTGAGACATTCCCAACTGCTGTCAGTGATGATTCAGTCAAAAGCAGTTGTGAGAGGAACAGTGCAGCCAGAGCCTTGGTCAGCCACTGTGTGTGCCATGCACACCAGCTCACAGCATGCAGAGGTGCAGGCAAATCGGTGTCAGCAGTTTCTGCCGCTAGAGTTGTTGGTTTTAAAACTATCCTAAACCAGATATGGTGCTTAGGCACCTCCCTCTCCCATCACTTCATGTGTTGATGCAGCCTAGATAGGCCAAGCCTCATAATCTAACACAAGGTCAGATGTCCAGGTGTCCTCTCTTTCACTTCCCGATCACACCTTCAGGGCAGTATAACTTCTGTTTTGAGGAAGCAAAGCAGGGAAGCAAGCCATAAAAACAGGAAAATAACTTCTTGTCTTGTCACATGTTGCTCACAGTATTCCAGCCACCCAAGAAGCCTCAGCAAAGATGGGCCACACCAGCTTCTACCAACCTTGGCCCTAAACTGGGAGATAAGTTAGCTCCACATTTCACAGAGAGTTGTAGAGCCCAGGACTGACTTGAAGTACCGTAGTCTGTAGCCCAGGAGCAGGTAGAGGGCCCCATTAGGTATCTGACATTTGCTCATCCTTAAGCTGTTCCTGTCAGTGGTAGTGAGGACTCGCGTCTGTAAAGGCTCACTCAGAAGCCAGCTGGAAGTGACTGGAAAAACACCCTGGGTCTATCTGAGCAGCAAGAGCCAGGGTGTTAGTGCCACTCAACCGCTGCTGTGACCAGGGCGCACAGAAGCCTCCCTGAGCCCACAGCCTCTGGTTGTGTGGGGCGACAAGCAGGAGCTCAGCACTTGTGGAAAAGTGCTTTGAGCTTCAGAGCATTAGAGAAGCTGAGGGTCACCACTTTGATGTGGACAGCATGATCCAGGCTAGGAGGCTGAAACCAGCTCATCTGTCCCCATATCAGGCATAGCCAAAGCCATTTTGTCCTTAGACACAGAGCATCTGTGTGACATCTAACCAGGGTGTCCCTTGACTCAAGCATCCTGACAACACTGTTACTTCTACTCATTTTAAGAGTTGCATTAAGAGACAAGTCTGGAGCACAGGAGGAAACACCCCCTGTCCCTCTTGTCTCTCACCGTCGCATATGCCACCAAGGTGAGGAAGGAGCCAGGATTCTGCTCACTCACTCCTCAATCAGCCATTTGCCATGCTGCTGTTTGTGTTGACATCTTCCTGTATGTCTGTCAGTGTTCCTTTTCTATCTGATGCATAGTAAGTTTCCACTGAACACACAAAATCCACCACTATTAAATCCTGCTTTCTGCTTGCCCTCCAAGCTCCCATTATCAGCTAAACATAAAGTATGTATTATATTGACTTTAACTATGCTAGTCTGTAGCCATAGATATTACTTTTATTAGCTAGACTTGATCCATCCATTTCCATGGGTTTTCTGTTTTCAATTGTTAAATCCTCTATCCAATACTACAACCAGTATTTATTACACCATAAATGCCTCACAGTCAAATCATAAACCATGTGAAAACCTGCATTGTGTAACACTGTTCTTAAATCAAACCAACAAAAGTCAAGAAACATACAGAACTAAATCAAATTCTCTGGACCAAAACGTATTGGAGTGGTAAGCTTAGCAAGAGACAAACTTTTGCATGGTCTGAAAAAACAATGGAGAAAAAAATCTAGCTTTTACTCATCTCTTTGTGCCTAGATAATTGGTACATGAACTCATTTTTTTTTAAGCAAAAACACTTGAGGATTCGTGCATTGTTTGGGAACAGTCTGCTTGGGATATAATTTGGCTTGGGATATAATTTGGCTTGAATGAGAAAGTCTTCATGTAGATTTAGCTCAAATTACTGTTAGTATTTATATATAAACATGTGACAAAATGAACTTGTTTCTTTTTGGCTTTATTTTGGCCTCTCTTCTGCATTTTTCTTATAAAAACAATCTCATGATAATATTCAGCACTAAACAAATAAAACATAATCTGGAATGCTCTCTGTTAGTTTTACCAGAGTAATTACAGTCCTTATACATTCTTAAAACTCTAATGAATTGCCTAAGGGTCCGTGGAGTCACTGCAGTGTATTCTGTAAGGGAACCGCTAGCTGCTATATGATCATTAGGGCATTACACATCTAGGAAAGCTGTACAATGGTAGACCTGTTGACTACACAATTAATGTATATATTCTGTGCTTGAAAAGTAATGGCATTTCACCTCTTTTCCAGTTTAATCCTCTCCTACAATTTGAAACATTCTATTAATGAGATTTTTTTGCCTTTGCGGTTCAAACATTAATCAGCTTTTCAGAAAACAAATACTTGAATAAGTTCTGCCAGAAATTTGCTCTTGGAGTTCCACATTTTTGGAAGGCCCCAGCTAAAGACGTTTAGGATTAAACTTTTCATGTTTCTGCCACATACAGTCTTGTCATATACTTGGCAATTACTACAGCTCTCTAGGAGAGGTTATGTGGGTGTTGATAAAAGACTCCCCCCTACATCCCCATCAGACAAAGTCAGCTATTCAGATCAAGGTCACTCTCCTGAACCTGCCCAAATAGTTGAAAGAAAGGAAAGTTATTAAAACACTGGAATTCCTATAACCGGTGGTTTTGTTGGGATAAGTTTTTCTCAAATGCACTGCAATACAGACTACAGAGGAATGACAAAGAGTAGGGGGACAAGACTGAAAAGCAGTAGCAGAAGATGGAATGGGCTAAACATACATTACGATTTAAAGCAAAAGAGATCTCTGCTGTTCCCAAATGTACACACAAGTGCTTATTTCTATTCTGATTTTTAATATAAATGGGAGGGGATTGTTTATGAGAGGTGATATCAGATAAGAAAGGGCTGATAGACACAATCAAGCAACTGAGGTACCCTAGAGCATAGATGTGGCTTTATGATTGCCATTACTCAGAAGTAGCCTTATGATTACCAGTGATGGAGATCTGCTCTGAATTTTACTGAATCATTTTTGAACATATTTCATGGCAAACACATTAAATTACTGTACCAGAAAAGAGTCATCTACTGACCACCTTGACTCTGCAACTATAGTCTGGAAAGCAGTTTGAAGCGTATTTGCTCAAACAGTCCTTCTGCTGTGACTTCTGCAGTCAAGTTGTTATTCTCAGACATGTAAATAGGGGAGACAGGATTTACTGGCAGTTCAGATAACATTCTTGTTTTCATAGGACAACTGGATTCTTAAACCATTCATAGCATTAGGCTCTCAGCTGCCCTTTGATTTAGTTCAGAAAATGAAAACTTGCTAATCCTAAAATCGTATTTTGTGGTTTAGATTGGGTTTGCACTGCTTTTGTTTTTCGTCATTTGGTGCCAACTCCATTCTTTGTTCCACATGACTTTTCTACTTCTCTCTCCTGTCTTGTCTTTACTTCTTTCTTCTTTCCAGTTCCTAACTGTTTGTTTTTCTGTGACACCCAGGTAACCTCTCTGATCCCAGTTCCACCTTGTTTCAGAGGCCAAAACTTTTACAGCAACCCTCAGCAAAGCTCATTCCAAATCTTAAATTGGCATCTCCATCACATAAAGCCCCAGAGTTGCAGCATTTTTGGAGTCTCTTACCTGCTGGGCATTCAGCTGAAGTCATTCCTCTGTCCGATTGTGCTGCTGGACAGGACTAGTTCCCCAGCTGCCCTCACCCCTGTCCTGTTCAAAGTGAAACAAGGAGCTCTGCTCACACAAGCTAGTAGAGCAGCAGGACAGTAACGCCCAGCAGCAGGTCTTGGGAGCCCTTCCCAAGACTGCTGCACTTGGAAACAGAAGCCTGATCACAGCTAAAAACCAGCTCTCATATCTAGAATTAAGCTCCGGCAGGCAAGTGTGCCATGCCGTGAAGGAATCAGAAGAAACACTTTCTTAGTCAGATAGATGGTTTCTATTTTTGCTTTATAAAATATTCATTCACATGTTGCTTTTTAGATGAATGGAAATCCACTGTTAGAGCCAGATGGAATGACCTTCTCCCCTTTCTCTTTGTCCTCAGGGTGCATCAATCCTCAGAATGATTCAAGACTGGATTACACCAGGCCTCTTCCAAAAAGGCTGTCAGGTAAGGGTGGCACCAAAACACACCAGAAATGCAGCCCATCCTCATGTGACAGTAGCAAAGCCATCATTCAAAAAATTAACATCAGAGATCCTGATATTAGTAGCAATAGTATTTCATGCATTTCAGTACTGAACAGGCAACATCAAGGGGAAGAAGTTCCAGGCTCCCACAGAAGCAGGAATATGAACTGTATTAAGATTTAATAGCCTGCCAGTGAGAACCTAAATTCATGACAGCTTTTAGTGGAGAAACCTCCTCCACTCCACTCTTATCCTCTTCTCAACTAGGATCCCCTCATTTAGCTGTAAAGTGTGTCTGCAGCTTCATATAGCGATCATCCTTCAATCCACCCAAGCCTGCTACGCAACGATGCTCTTATGTTCCTACATGCCCTGACGCAGGGACAGCCAATCCTAGAGAGCCAAGGTAACAGGGAGTAGAAAAGGGAGATGTTGCAGAGTTCATAGTCCTTTCTCACGGAAGGATAAATATGATACTACAAAATCACCGAGAGAAATAATGGGAGAAAGGAGCCCTCCCAGAAAAGGGAAGGTTACCTGCCCTTTCCTCTCAGCCAACAAAGAGTTAAAGAACGTTTGTTCTTACCTCCCTCCTTCCGGGAGAGCACATTTATGGGCTAATACAAGACAGTTGTATTTTTCTTTATTTTTCCTTTCATATATTCAGTCAGGACAGTTCCACAAGATAGGAAAATACAGCCACCTTGATGGTCCCCTCAGAGCTTTCAAGAGCGTTTAATAGGCATCCATAGCTAACAGTGAAACAAACAGCACCATCTACTGACTAAACACCACCAGGATCCAGATCACAGGGGTAGGGAAGCAGCCGCTAAGCAGCCAGGTAAGACATGGGACAGGAATAGTCTTTAGGAGGTGCAAACACTTAGCTGGTTACCATTATTCCTCATAACAGTAATTTTGATCACAATATAGAGGTGACTAGACGTGCCTATTCCACTCTGAGTCCAAAGCTAGTGAAATCTCCTGAAATAGCTCCCTCCTTCTAAAACAGCTCTTGCATTAGACAGAATATGCTGGTGTCCATTCAAACGATATACGAAAAATTATTCAAGTACAAATTTATTTCATGCTAACCAGTCACATTGGAAAATCCTGACTTTTAGCATTACGGGATGCATTGGAAAGCAAAGGAACTTCATCAGCTGAACGTTGATCCAGTTAACCTCCTGCTCACAATGTTACTGCTCATGGAAAGATACTGTGTACAGCTGACCTGTAACCTCTGTACTCTCTGTATCTCTGTACAACTGAATAGGTATATTACTTTCATAGGCAAAGAAGAATAACTTGGTAGTATTTTCACAGTCTTCTACCTCTCTCTAGGCATATTTGAAGAAATACCATTTCCAGAATGCCAAGACACAACAATTTTGGGAAGCTCTGGAAGAGGTATGTTTTGCAGCAATCCAGACCCTTGCTAATAAGTGTGTCATATCTCAGCCGCTGATTTCTATTTTCCAAACTTGTTATATTCTGTAGCTCTTCTGTAAATGAGCGATCATAAGCTAGGCAGCCTCCTAGAATATTCTGACATATCTTATTTCTAGTAAATATTTATTATTTTCTCATTTTTTGGCATAAGACTATGGGAAGGGAATAAGAAAAAAGAAAGGAGGACTTGCAAACAAACAGCCTTCTTCCCAAACTCATTCTGTGGTGAAAACATCCCTCATCCACTGCACACATGCACCCCATACTCTCCTTTGTCTCTCACCAGATTCAGCTGTTTGAAAGCTCTCAACAGTATCCACTCCCAAGTAATGTTGATACCTATCTCTGCCTCTAGCTTCTGAGTCCCAATTGGGTAATTCTCTGTGCCACCATTTTCTGATCTTTTCTTGCCCTTGAGGCTGGGCTGGTTTTTTTCCATCTACCTCATTATCCTCAAAACCCACTTGCATACTTCCAGGATCTTCCCTGATCAGGTTTCCTTTCCTTCCACCACTGTGGACACTCACACAGCCCAAGTTGCACTTTTGTGTCTCCTTTCAAGCTCTCAACTTCTCCTTGATTCCAGACTTCTTCCTGCTCAGCAGAACAACTTTTTGCTCTCTTTCTGGTGCTCTGCATCTTCAAGTCATCTAACTCATCTGAAGAAGGAGACAGTGATCCTAGCTCCCTTCCCTCACATGTGGCATCCTGGGAAGGCAGTGGTATCTTTCTCCAGCTCCAGTCTCTAGGACAGAAGTTCTTGGTCCATAGAATGGGTTGAATTTTACATTATTGCAGCTGCTGGTTTTTGGTACTAGCTCCTCCTTCGCACTCAAAGCAGGGAATGCTGCAAGGAGATTTCCAGTTTTGAAAAGTCTCTTCATATCCTTTCTGTCTTTTGAGAAGTCTCTTTATATCCTTTCTGTCTCGTTCTGTTATTTCCTTAGAAAAAAATGAGAGATCTTAGAGCATGCAAGGGGCCTCAAAGGTTGCTCAGTATTTCTTGTCCATGTTGCTGGCCAGTCTCCTGCCCACACACTTTTCACTTCCTCTTTCTGTGTTCAAGTTTTCAGCTTGCTCCTTCTTTCAATGACAAGCACCATAAAAGGATTTAATGGAGTATTTTTTGTACTGAACATGCTCTTTCTGCCAATTCCTGGTCTTCTTTCTCTCAGTATCAGAGAAATGTATCTTTTTTCCTCTTTGAACTGAATTTGCTTTTTCACTGAAACCTTCTTCCATCATTCATAGGCAAGTAATAAACCTGTGAAGGAAGTCATGGACACATGGACGAGGCAGATGGGCTACCCAGTTTTGGAGATGGGAGATAATTCAGTATTGACACAGAAACGTTTTCTCTTGGATCCCAGTGCAAATGCTTCTCACCCTCCTTCTGATCTTGGGTAAGTTCCTTCTGTAAAAGTCTATCCAAAACAGGTAGAAATCCTGTATGGTTATTATCTTCAAATGACAAACACGTAGGCAGTCTTATACCCATTCTTGCTAAACTTACTGTCAGCAATTGTTTTTAAAAAGAAACCAACAGGAAGTTAGATATAAGTATTTAAATTTTAGGACAGCATCATCTCTTTGTCTCAGAGTTTCTTTCTCAAATATAGCAAAGTAAAATTGAAAAAAGTCTCTCAGAAAATCTTATTTCCACAGTCAGATAGCTCAGATGATTGCAAGTCATCTCTTGAACCACTGCAAACTATAGTTTGCCAGACTAAGGAAAACTGACACAAAATTTTCTCTGTCCAGAAATCAGATACCATGATCCAGGTATTTTATGCCATGATAGTTTATTCCTTTTCCTATATGGTATGGGATCTATAATACATCACAGGGTCTTCACATGAAATACAGTGTCTTCTCTACATCTTAAAAACATGAGTTATTGTGAAATAGCTAGTCATGTATAAATGTTATTAATCCTCATCAAGAGCTATTCAAGATAGGAGGGATACTTTACAAGGGCATATTTCTTAATTAACAGGTGACTAACCTGAGGGGATATGAACCCTACCTGTAGGCTGGTGGCCCTGCACAGAGAAATGGCTTGGCTGCACCAGCTAGCATTGACTAGCTGAAGAGCTGTTCAGAGCTGGCATTGTGTGTGTTCTTAGTGAGCCCCCATTTTGAGGCAATACAACTTTGGTAACATTTATGAAACAGATTAAAATTAACCCATAGTGGGAAGATTTCATTCCTTGGACTACCCAAATCAACTAAACCAATAAAACTTGCCAGTATGAACCAGAACTAAATCTACCCAAATTCGCTTTTCCGTTTACTTCTACTGTTTACTTTAATAAAAAGAGCAAGAACAAGGAGAAAATGAAGAAACAGTTGTGGCCACCTCGTTTCATTCTGAGTAAAAATAAAAAGCTTGAGCAATGAGAAGGCCAATGGAATTGGTAGTTTTGGACAGGTATAGAAAGAGTTGGGATGAGATAATTACCTGTATATTTGCAATGTTTTATTTCTCCCAACATACGCAGAAAAGTTTGCAGGCTTCTGAAGCAACCCCAGCTGCAAACTACTGCAGTGTGCCATCTGAACACTGGTGTTACAAACCGCTCAGTCAAAAACACTTCTTTGTGTTGAAAATTTTGACTTATGCTTTGAGGTAGCAGACTCAGGAATCCTACTTTTTCTTGACTTTAAGACTTACAGTACGTTGCGATTTATCATTTCTTGACTATAAATCCCAGCACTGTACCTACTTTAACCTGTCAAGAAGCTGAGTTGTGCACTGCCCCTGACATTCCTAATGTGAGCGGGGAATTTTTCCTGCATATATGGTTTTTATAAATGACTTCTTAATAAAATGCAGTAGAATGTATTATAATGCTGATATTATCTATCCTGGGACAGACTTACTCCCTTGCCTAAAAGTCAATCCACTGAAAAAAAAATACCTCCTCCTTCCACCCTCACAGGTGAGGATGAGGAAGCCCCTGAAGAGACCCCACCCCAGGTGGGACTAGTCTATCTCATGTCTGAGTGCAGGGCTTTGATTTAAGCTGTGAAAACTCCAGGCCTTGTGCATGCTTTATTCTCTGAACCCTGCAGGGATAGTCTCTAGAGCTGCCTGCTTGTTTCAGGCTTGCTTGGCTTGAAGGAGTGAGCTCCTGCATGCTGGCACTCAAAAGAAATGGAAGTTCAAAAACCTATGCTCTTAAAATAGTGCTGCTGGGCAAATATGTAGCTACAGCATAGCATGTCAGGAACACGTCCTCAATATGCGCAGTTAACACGACATAGCTATTTTATCTTCTGCTCAGGAAAAGTATTTATGTATGTAACTTCAGGAATATATAAAGAAAACTAAGTAAAATCCCTCCCATTAAATGTATTTACAAAACCAGGTGTTTATTTAAAAAAAAAAAATCTTTTGAGCTTTCTTTTGGTGAAACACAATAGTGGGGCTTCTGGCCAAACAATAACCTCTCTACATTTCATGGCAGTAAACTCCCTAAGAGAACTAATAAAATCTGGAAATTTATAAAACTGTTAAGATATTTTTGTTCAGAAGACAAAAAACAATGGTTGATCTTTCTTCCTGGAGGCTGTAGGAAATACCAAAGCCTTAATTTTGGTGTTTTCTGGAAGTTAGTGACCAATCACTTGGGTTTTCATGGAGTCTTTGTCAGCGGGGATTTAAGGTGGAAGAAAAATTTCCCTGGGATGGGCAGTAACATGCTAGCATGGAACAACAGCTGACTGCCCAAAAAAGGGTTAATAATTTTAGCTGCCCTGTGCAGGTGAATGTGCAGGTAGTCTCATGGGATGCTCTACCATCCTGCTTCCCTGACTTCCTGGCCGAAGTCTTAGTGAGGCTGTGTGATGGCTCCCTTCCAGCCCAAATGTCTCAGCTCTCTCCCAGGCATGCCCTGAACTGAGGAGCCTGAATTGACCCGCTTAAGGTATTCAAGGAATCGAAAAGCAAGAAGTAAGGTCATATTAGGCCCCCAGTGCTTTATAATGGTGGAATTAGGGTTGTCTTGAAGAAGGACAATAGGCTGGAAAAGGTCCTGATTAATGTGTCACGGTGGTTGCTTAAACTCTTGCAGTTTTCCCATCTGTAAAAAAGGTCTCATAATACTTCACCACTTATTTCAAGTCAGTGTCGTAAAGATTAACTGATGGCTGCAGAAAGCCCTAGACACATCATCATTAACACTGACATCAGCCATCCACATAAAATCATCTTCTACTAAATTAATTGCTTTGTACCCTGCTAGATTATTATCTGATATGACATGAAGATACCGCTTAGCAGGGCTGCATGTTTCACGGTTGTGGTAATAAGTTACATGGCATAGCACAATGGAAATTCATTCACATGATCTCTCTCTAATTATGGGTAATTATTACCCTCTCCAGCACACAGAGTCACCAAGAGGTGAAGACTGCACTCAGAAGGACAGGGCACTAGCAGATCCATTGATTTCCAAAACTAAAAATAGAAATGAACCAGATAAACTGTGCAGCTTTCAGACTTAACTTTATGTACATAATCAACACGGCCCCATATTAACCATGTTTACTTGGCTGGTAGATCGACATCAGGTGCTGGACAAAACCTTACTCTACTCCACCAGATATATTTTGAGAATGATTGGTTAAAAACTAACTATTAAGACAAGCTACTGCTATTCCCTATCTCTAAAGCATAAACATCCTTGCACACTTCATGCTTTTTATTTTGCTTTTCAGGGAAAAGTATCATAGCACAGAAATATCTTTACAACACAGCCAACAGCTATCGGTAAAACTCTGCATTTCATTACAAGGGATGTGTGGTAAATGTGTATGTACATAAGCACACAGTTGGCTTCATAAAACAATGTAACCATTAAAACAAATAAAAACATACATTAGAGTTTTATTTTTAGCATTTGGTTTCAAATATCATTCGATTCT